CAATGAAGTAACATCTAATGATTAGCTTTCTAGATCTGGCATTGTTTCTCTGACCTATTTCAGAAGGGTTAGGTTTTCTAGTTGTCTTTCTGGGATATGATTGGCAGAGCTTGATTGGCAGAACCAATCCATGTACTGATTCTGCTGCTGAGTCCTCACTGAGAAGGTTTAGGATGAAATAGTTCTAGTATTCAGCCTGTACCAGGCTACCAAACATTTTTGGAAGCCTCCCTTGAAATCTCACTGTGTTCAATATTTCAGAAATATGGGAGAAATTACAGGAGAATTTCCTCCTCCATCTTCCCTCTGAGAAAAGGAAAACACATTTTTATAATAATCACTTATGAAAGTGGAAAAATGCTACCTTGTTTATGAGAATACCAGGGTATTCCACCTGTCAGGCCTGACACAATTCAACCGCAAAAGGCTGAGACATTTTTGATTCTCCATATGTCGAGGACAAGCTTCATACATACTGATTTGCACAAAAACCACAGAGAGCTCTCTCCAGGGAGAGCTAGCATTTTGACAAGGCTGAATGATGACTTAGAACAACAGGGGTAGGAACTCTTGTGCAGTGCTGTCCACAGACCCAGGCATATCTTGTATCTGGTAGCTGAGAGCTGCCACATTAAAATATCATTTGAAATTTAAATTCCTTGTAAAACACCAAGAAAATATGGGCCAAAGAGCTGCTAATGGAGGGACTGGATTGTCACGAAATCATGCTGAATACTTACAAATGACTGAAAGAATATTAGGAAAGTAGTCAGTTGAAAAGCTATTAGTTTAAAAAAAGCACATCTTTTAAGAGTCAACACATTGAGATACTGTTGAAGTCGGGCAGTCATCATCTGTATTTTTATCTCCAGGTATGGTCATTTCATTGGAGATGAGAAAATATGACCTTTGATGCTATAATAGGGTTGTAGTTGGAGACAAGAGTCTTGTTACGCTGAAAAAATTCAAATAATTGTATTATTTCACTGTTAGGGTTTCTTTCTTGAAAAATGAGAATTATCCTATATTTGACCTTAACAATTTTCATAAAACTTGAGCCCATCCCCCCGAGGAGATGTGGACATTTTCAGCCCTCCTCGAACCTCTAACTCACGCCTCACTCCCCTTGCTCTCAGCGAACAGTCTTGCTTTCCCGAGAAGACCACTCCTCTTCAGCCCCTCAGTCGTCTCTGCCTTCTCAGGCCCTCCATCCAGCAGTTTCCCTTCTTGTTCCTCTGTCTTAACCTTCTCTTTGCTCTGGCTTATCCTGCTTCACCTGTAACTAGAAATCTAAGAGAAAGCCTCACTTGGCTTTACACCCAATAGGCTATTGTTTCTTCTCTTTCTGTCCTTTTCACCTGGTTCTCAGAATGCAGTCCATACCGCCACCTCATTATTTGTCTTTTTTTACCCCTGCCTTTTGACTGCTAAAGCCATTTTCTCAGATATCTCCAGTGATTCAATGGTATTTCTCAATCACTCACTACTCTTATCTGGGGGTAGTTTTTTTTTTTGTGTGTGTGTGTGTGTGTGTGTATTCATCTATTTGAGCATAATTTTATATGTGCCTGTATCCCTTATTACCAAGGTCAAAGACAAAGTGGATTGTTCTCTAGCTAAAAAGCCAGGTAACAAGAGAGTGTGTAGATGAGCAAGAACCTCAATCCTTGAGAGGAGCATTAGAACTTGCTACTAAGAGATGTGTTGGGACTACAGAATGACAAAGACAAAAATGACCAAATTCCCTGATAAAATCAGAGGTTCAAGAAATAGGATTGTGTCTTCTCCCCTTCCTATCTACATGGTGTCTCGAGTGTTCTCATGCAGTCTCAAGCAGGCTTATCCAAATAGGCATTGCTTTTTAGCCTAGCCTTGGGTCTGGGTCACCCTTATAAACACAGCAAGATGTGGGCAGAGCTGGTGTGAGTGTGTCCACAGCTGTTCCAAGAGATTTTTGCCTGGGAAGGTGTCAGAGTGTCTTGGACATTGTGTGTAAGACTGAACCCTGCCCACAACCTAACTGAACATGTTTTTTAAAAGCTCCAAGCCTTGTAGCAAGAGTGGGTGGCTAATTTCCTAACTCACCTATTCAACTCATTTGTGGTCCCAGCAAATAATCCCTCTTTTAGGACACACGGGCTTTATTTCAAAGCTGTTCCATTTCTTCACAGGGTAGATAGGAATGTGCAAAGTTGTAGCTTTCTCTTTTGTGTGGGATATCACTTATGAAGTGGAGTTCAGTTCTTTGTGCAAAAGGAATTGTGGGAATGTCAAAACAGTTTTGAACAAAACTGTATATTCAATTAAAAGCCTTTCTCTCCAAAGGCCCAAAGCTCTCACTGGGAAGATGCAGAGTCCATTCCAGGATAGAGTAGATTCCACAACTGGGGAAATAAAGAAAGGAACCCAGGGCCTTACATCCCTGTATGTGAGCCTAGGAAACTTTTCTGGGAGTACAGATGGCCTGCAAGTCATCTTCAGAGCTTGGAAATACAGAGAGTAAAGTTAACAATAGAACTTCTGTGATAGAATTTTCTAGTTTAAGAGTAACTATTTTTATTCCACAAGATCCTCCTGATGGAAAATACTGTTAACTGAAACCCCCAGCTGAAGTCTCTTTGTTTTGATTAGATGCAGGGTGTTGACTCTCTCCAGGAAGAAGGAGAGTACTTGGCAGAGGTCATTGTGACCAGCTCCCACTCCCACCTGCAAAGGCTGAGGGTTGAGGCAAATGTGAACACCTGCCCACCAGTAGAGGGGGCATCCCTGCCATTTTGCCTGTCACGATTAAAGGTCTATTCATCTGGAATAACAAAACTGGGATGTGGCTATTTGTCATGCCAATTCATGACATCTTATTTCTGTTGTCTCTTCTATCCCAAAGCTAGTTATCGAGTTCAATCGTCCTTCCTCTAGGATAATTTTTAGTAAATAAAAATCTCTATGGAAATTCATGATGGATATGGTTTACAGCCAACTTGTTCATGCTTAGGGTTGGGTCAGGTTTGTCAAGTACACCACCTGTGTATTTTATGCTTCTTTTTCTCCATTCACCTCTTAGCTGTCCCCCAAGCATCTCTCATGGACTCTCCTCTCTTTCTATATACTTTTCCCAGGCAATCTCAGCCACTCCTGGGGTCTTATGTTCCATCTGTATGCTTATAACCTCTAAATTCTTTGTTCTGCCTTAACTCTATATAGTTCCAGCCCCTTATTTTCAGCTCTCTTATTGAAATATCTACATGAAATTCCATGTGGCTGTTTAAATCAACATGTCCAAAACCAAACTTACTGGACTCTCCTATCTACAAAGTAATTTCTGTTATGTGGTCCCATCTTAAAACCCAGTCACTCCTTACTGCCCCTCAAGCACCAACATCCACCAATTCTCATCCCAAACATCTTGAAAGTACTATCTCCTCTGCTCTGTTATCCCTCTGCTTTTATTCATTCATTAATTCATTCAAGGTTTACTGTAGTCCAGAACTATGCAAGGGCTAGTGACATACTGGGAAGATGAGAACCAACGAATACATCAAGTAAAAGGCACTGTGCTCGTTGACCTGTCAGAACTCAGGGTGGTGATGTGCAGGGTGGAGCAGGATGAGCAGGAGTGTGGGAGCCTAAATCTAGGACTTCTCCTGTCTTGGTACAACTCATCTCTTGCTGGAACACTAGAAAAACTCTCCAGCCACATGTCTCTTCTGCCCTCTGCTCCACTACCTGTGCTTTATGTTCGAAGTTGAAATCAGATTGTCTCTCTCCTGGCTGAAATCCTTCCATGTCCCCACCCATGTGGCAGGACATGTGCCAAACTTCTTGACCCTACTTATAAAACGTTCCAACTCAACTTTTTTCTCCCATGGCACTACTCTTTTACACAATGTAATTATTAACCTCACAGTCCATAAAATGCCCACTCTGCCTTTACAATTTACTATCAGTATGATTTTCAACCACCCTCTTTCCTCCTTTGATGATCAACTCAATAGATCATTTTCCTAATGATTGCTGCTCACATTTTGCATAGCTGTTTCCAGTATCAAGACACTGAAGAGTTTTGATAAACACAGATAATCAGTGTGTGATTATTTACTGTCTTGACATACTTTCAGAGGCACCATACAAAGTGTAGCATACAGTAGCCATGCAGCAGGCCGCCAGAAACAAGTCCTTAGGTCCTGTTCTTAAGAACACTGAAGTCATCTTTACAGATGAGTGTGCTCTCAGAAGAGAATGAGAGTCTGGTGCTGACCACCTGGACTTCACAGGAGTGGGCCACTGTAACAACATTCATTCATTCATTCATCCATTCACTGAGTCATTCATGCATCCAACACTTAAGAACATTTGCTAAGTACTCCGTGTTGCAAAGATGAGCTCCACCCCCAGGGAACTCACAGTCTCTTCTGTGATAATTTCTGTGAATTTTATCCAAATGCTAGAATCAAAAAGGAGCAAGCAGGTCTCTGCTGAGGGATCAGAGGGGCTAGGAGGACACTTGAGAGGCTTTTAAAGATTGAATATATTTTTTTGTTTGTTTCAAGAAGTGTGTGTGTGTGTTTATGTATTTAAGGAATAGGGTGAATGGTAGCACGTGGATGGGAAAAAAATTGCTGGCCTGGTAAAATGAACCAAAATGCAAAGATATTTTTTTTTTAAAAACTCCATAATGATCATTATTTGGGAAATTATGGCAAGTTCAGTGTGGCTTGAGGAGCAGCAAAGGGTGGGCAGGGGATGCAGAAGGAGATGGTTAAAGGTAAACAGTGCAGACTGTAGAAGACTCGTACCAAGGACCTCAAACTTTCTCTGTAAACAGTGGGGAGCCCAGAGAAATCTCTGAACAGCAGAGTGACTGATCAGATTGTTTTCTCAGTGAAGGTCTGATATGGGTATGAAGGATGAATTGTGAAGATGAGCATTTAATGAATGCTTTTTAGACAAGTCCATGTCTGTGTCCCAGCTAACTTTTTATATTTGTGTGTGTTTCTTCCTAGTGACAGTGCTGGCCATTTTTCATGAACTGCACGTTGACCTTGACCTGTACACACTCTTGTTTGGGGAGAGTGTGCTGAATGATGCAGTGGCCATAGTCCTTACCTAGTAAGTATCAGAACTTGGCCTCTGATTCTTTGACCACATAAACTATGCTTCTACTTAATGATAGTTACTAGTGGCTCTAATAATATTTTTTTCTCTCATGACATTAGAGGTATAGGCAATTGCTAGTTTTTATGGAATTGTGACCAGAGAAAATCTCCAATAATGGGTACAATTCATTAGGCACCTAATTTTTAACACTATTAATGATTATCATGTTTCCAACCTATTACAAGATACTCCCTAGAGGGTAATATTTTTTGATCAGTGCACATATTTAACTGATTCACCTAGAGTTTCTAAAATGCACATAAATGAGCTTTAATTCAAATCAATATTGTTTAATTTTTTCCTTACACAAGTCATTTTCCAGATAATAGACTAATAGAAACCATTGTACATAGAATAAGTTTAGCAAATTGGAGATAGAACTTGAAAGTCAGAATACTCTTTCTCTACACAAATGTAATGCTTCATAGGAACACATACATCTTTAAATCATGACATGTCATGTGAAACTGATGGAGCTTCAGCTAAGAGCTAATGTAATTTTCCCTCTATCCTGGAAGAATTTTCTTTTCAAGATGAAAATGAGTGATCTTTCCTCACCTCCCCTTTAGACACTCATCATTTATATTTAATAAATGCCGCTCTGGCAGCTTTCATTATGTCAGAGGTCTCTTCTTGGTTTTGAATTAAAACCAACGTTTTGGACAACTATCAAATACCCCAAAGGAAAGTAGCTATCTGATAATTACCTGTGACAACAGAATTCAATTCAGAGTGTTAATTACTGCAGATGTATTTGAAAATGTATTGTAACGTAACAAAGGATTTTTAAAAGTCAGAACTCACAAAGGGGAGTAGGAAACAACAGAGAACTACTCTTTTTCCTGCCAACTGACATTTCGTAAGGCTGTCACCCCAAAGCTGCCTCCAAATTCAGCAACTTTCAAGCAAGAGTCTCCAAATGACTTCTATTTCACCTGTCCACTAGACATGCCTTTCCTGCATTAAAGGAAAATATCAGTGAGTTCCAATTAAGAGCAAAAGCTACGGCAGATTTGCAAATGCTAAAGAGTGCTTTTAAGGAAACACCAAAAACAATTAATCAGGGCATCAGGAATCTCTGTCCAAAAAATACTAGTATCAAAGACACATTTGGAGTAAAAATTTTTTTAAATCTGCCGAGTCCCTCATTTTCACTTCCTGAGCTGCCAAGTTGTAAAAGGCCAAGCAAAGCAAACCCACGAATGATCTTGGGGAAAGAATCATGCAGCTACAACTGAGGGCAGGTGGGGCCTTTCCACGTCCAGCCCTACCATTCATAATTGCTCTCCATTAAAAACATAGACTCCAAGGATGAATGTTGATGCTGCTGAGCACAAGCCTGGCGGCATTTGAAATAGTCTATTTAGTATCTTCTCAGCCCAATAAATGGTTATTGCTGGCCGTGCCTTTTCTGCTCCCCTCCCCATGCATTTCATGCCTTAATAAAATGTGTTTCTCACCCTGGGAAGATCTCTATCTTTCTAGGCATGAGACAGTTGTCATTCTAACCAAAATCTTGTGCTTTTTAGCTTTGGCAATTCAAGAGTTGTGCAGAGTGACCCCAATGAGCTCTACCTTTAAAATAAAGGTAATCTTAAATTAGGAATATATGACACAGAAACTTCCACAGATTCAAATATGCAGGCTCTTTGTTCCACCTGGTGCACTTGGGCCCTGCCAACCCCTTCCATGAGGTCTACTGAGTGGTCTGTAACTATGCTGTCCTGGGTCTGGACTGTCTTTCTGCCAGGGCTGTCTTTTGCTGACCACTTCCTCCATCTTGCACAATTTTCCACGTGTTCTACTTTTCACTTTTCTCTCTTGCTCATTTGCTTCTTAAACTTAGTTTATAGCACATATGACAGCCTCTTGTTACATCTACTTACACACACATATTCCTTCTCCTTTTAATGCCCATCCCCACACTCTCTTTTCCAACGTTCTTCTGTTTCCCTTAGGAAAGCCCTTTTTAAAAGTCTTCTAGGACCTTCAGAACGTAAGTGTAAACATTTATCTCTCCACTTTTCTCCCCCTTCACATTAAACTGTGCATAGTACCCTAACACAGCTCTTTGGCTGGTAACTGTATGCTTTTACACACACAAAGTTCATCCCTCCCCAACTTCTGTCTCTGCCTTACCAAATCTGTCCTCACGCAGCTCATGCTCCTCCTTTGGGAGCCACTAGCCCACACGCTAAGCCTCTACTCTATCCCTGCATGGACCGCCATTAGTTTCTTTCTAACTCAGCAGTGCAATCTTGGGTTTACATGTCTATTTTAGTTTCTAGATAGTAACTTTTGAAAACAGTCTATGTCTTTGAAATGTACATTAAAAGAACAAATGAAAACCTCTTCTGTGTTTTCCCTTTCTTAGTTCCACCTTTGTATGTTTTTGAAGTTTAAGAACGGTATAGAGCCCTTCTGTACCAAGGAAAAGGAAAGGTATACATTTGGATGTGAAATCAAGCATAATAAAGGACTCAAACCATCGGCCTCTGTGGCCCCTGGCGGAGCCCTCAGAGCCGCTTCCGAATGGCCGCACACTTCCATTTACTTTCCCATCTTCCCCCAGCTGACCTCCTTGTTCATGGGCTGTCCTCTTCAGTTTTAGTATTTTTCAAATTGAAATCGCTAGTATTGTTGACAGTACCATGCTCTAGTATTTTCATTCAAATGTGTAGTAATTTGGTTGTGTGTTAGATTAAATCAGTTTTCTGTGCTAGTCTAAGAAGCAAATGACTTAGTTCTGTTTATTAGATTAAATGTGCTCTGAATTTCAGACATAATTAAATGTGATGACCACACCTCTCATACATAGCAACAGGTAGTAGGTAGTGTCCCTATGGCTTAAAATAATCCAGAATTGTTCATCTTAAAATAAAAGTAACTTTATTTAACAAAAATGTTTTGAAATAAGCTCATCTCTGACCCATTGTGGTATTTCAAGTATATAGGGGATGTCATGCTCAAATCTACACATACTGGTTCATGAATGAATGAATTCCACATGATGGATTTGCATTTCTAAAGATTGTTTAATAGGCTATGGAGGAAGCAAAAGACAAAGTGAAAAGGACTCAAAGAATGTATGTTTTGAATACTGAATAAAGACATTACCTTCAGAGGGAATGTGATAGGGCAGAAAGAGCCCTAGATTTAAGTCAAAAGAGCTGGTATCACAGTTGCATGCATTTATTGTGCAGTTACTACAGTTGACAGGAAACCAACCCAAACTGTAGTAAACAAAAAGGGCATCTGTGTTGGCTGACATAACTGAACAGCAGGAGTAGACATGGCTCAGGAAAGGGTCCACTGAAGTGAGCAGGACTCTTTTTCATTCAGCATCTTCAGGGTCACATCCCTCACCTGGGCACAAGATGACTGCCAGTGACTCTCAGGGTTGAATCCTTCTTCAAGAGAATCTTTGTCCCATCACTCCCAACCCAAATCTTAGTATACCTTATAGATTTTCATGTCATTCCAGACCCACTTGTGGCCAGTTAAATGTACTGCATTTGTCGACTCAGGTATAAGTCACATGCTTCTTCAGTTCAAGGCTGTAATCAGTTTCACTTGAAAGAATATAAACTAAACTGGAGTAAAGTGGGATTATTACACAGAGCAATATTGATACAAAACAAGGAAAAGTGGCTACTGGAGCGAAACAAAAGAAAACAAAACCTGGAAGACCATGATAGTGACTTTATATGAACATAAAATCTACATGCTTGTTTCCTTACCTATAAAATGTGAGAATAGTTATTCTATATACATTACAAAATTATTCCAAGCAATATAGTTAGTTAGAAAGACTCTATAATCTCTGTAACCTGTGAAATCTATGCTGTACTAATATATATATACTTATTATAATTTATATCATCATTTATATTGATTTCTTTCATTCTACTTACACAGATCTCTCTGGTTTCATTAGAACGACTAAAGATAGACCTGCTACTATAAAGCATTCCTTCATAAATATGAGTTTATGATCCAAGGAATATAGAGAATAACCATTTTTACATGTAATTTCCTCCATTAGGAATGAACACTTAATTAAGACATACTGTCTAAAGTTGATAAATCAAGAAAAAAAGGTCGAAGTATTTTACCTAAAATGAAAAAGGTATTCACAGTCAAAATTGGTACTGCTTGTGGAAGTTAATTGGAGAAGGGAAAATGCAATGGTAGGGATAAACTAACTAAAAATGCTACATCTCTCACAGTAAGAAATCAGTAAGTGCAGTGTTGATAAATCAAGACATAGAGATATATGTGTATTATTTAGAGTCATAGGACAATTATCAGAAGAAATAAAAACATAAATGGTTAAAAGGGAAACCATGCTTTATGAAAAGGTAAAAAAGATAATTTAACTATTTTGTATCCTTTTACACTCTGAAATTTCGTATGTGTTTGAATTATGTTTATTTAAATATTCTTCAGTTGGTCAAGCTATCAAAAGCAGAAACTATAAAAGAAAAGCCAATTTATGTAATGGCAATAGAGCCAAGCAATCAGAATTTTTTAGCAGGCAAAGTCACTACAAATAGAATTAAATGATGAAGGATAAGCCAAGGAAAGTAGTTTTAATACATGTTGACAGGTTAATAATGGTCTTTAAAATAGACATGATGAATTGTTAATCTTCCTTATATACCAGATATACTAATTGTGTTATCTTAGGTAAGTTACTTAATCTTTCTCTGCCTCAGATACCCTGTTTATTAAATAGAGATGGTAGTAGCACTATCTCATTAGGTGGGATTAAGCATAAAACATTTAGTACAGGGCTTGGCTCATAACACTCAATAAACATTAGATACTAGCTGCTAATAATACTCCTGTTATCAAAGACCAGTAAGGAAAAGGTAAATGTAATAGAAAAATGGGCAAGGGATATAAATAGATAATTAACAAATAAATGGGCAATAACTAAATCTACTAAA